AATATTGAGCTTGACATATGACACCCGATCTTGCATTTAATTGGTTAATTTGATAGTATATATTCATTAAATATTCAATGAATTATTTGGTGAAAAAGTTTTATATTTGAATATTCAATTCAGTGAAACAATTATATATTCGGATATTCAAACATTTATTAAATATTTGAATATACTATTCATTGGATTTGACCTCTACATATTGTTATCAAAATTTTGATTATATTTGTATAGTTGAGTTTTAAAATTCTTATTAGACAAAGTCGATAATATAATCAACTCTATTTAATAAGTATTTTAACTCAACTATACAAAATAGTCAAAATTTAAAATAGCAATAACAAGTAATCAGACAATAATACCATTATTTTATAGATAGTAAAAATTAATATGATGGTATAGATGATAAGTAATTAAATCAAATATCTGCCAAAGATATGTTAGCTATTATTGTGGCTTACATATCTTTGACAGATACCACTATACCAATATTTTTTCACTTACTATACAATAAATTATAATTATAGTAATTCTAATACAAGCTAATATAATCTTTAATCTTTTTAAATTTATTTAAACTAGTATACTTTTTTTTTTTTTAAATTCAGCAGTCTTGTCTCTACTTTATTAGGTTTAATAATATTATACTTTGAAATATTAAATTTATTAAAGAGCTACTAGTTTTAAGACCTGGGCATTGCCTCGGGTTCAAGTTTTTAATTTTTTGCTAATTCTTAGGCCTCAATGTTATTAGTTTTTAAGACCCAGACATTGCCTCAGATTTAAGTTTTTAATTTTTTGCTAATTTTTAGATTTAAATTATATTAGCTTTTAGAACTTGATCATTGTCTAGATTTGAAATTCTAATTTTTTGCTAATTCTTAGATCTAAACAATATTAATTTTTAAGATCTTATATTGTTTTGAGTTTAAGTTTTTAATTTTTTTAATTTTTAAATCCAAATTATATTAGTTTTAGATTTAAATTATATAGAATTTAAGTTTTTAATTTCTTATTTTATATACAATTAATAATATTTTTAGACTATATACAATTAATTATTAAATAATAATACTTTTAGATTATATACAATTAATTATTAAATAATAATATTTTTAGACTATATACAATTAATTAAATAATAATACTTTTATACTATATACAATTAATTAAATAATAATATTTTTAAAACTATATATAACTATATATAAAAATTATATACAAATTAATTAATTAATAATAATACTTTTAAAATATATACAAATATATAAACTATATATACAATTTATATAAACTATACAAAATAATTATATACAAATATAAATTAATCTTCTTTGTCAAAAATTTCTTTATATACAATGTTTTTAGTATATATATCCTTTTTTCCCTCTATATGACCATTTTTAACCAAGATTTTAATTTTATCATTTGATTGGACTCTTGACAAAGCTATATATAATTGGCTATGGGTAAAGACAGGTTTGGGCAAATATAAACCCATATTAAGAATTGTTTGACCTTGAGCTTTGTTAATAGTCATAGCAAATGACAATTTGATAGAAAATTGCCTTCATACTAATTGAAATGGGAGATCGGTATCTGATGGTGTTAATCTTACTCGAGGTATAAAAACTCTTTTTTCCTTTGTTAATATCTGTTAAGATTTCAGTATCTATAATATATCTATAACAGGCCTTAACTATTAATCTTGTACCATTATATAATCCTTCAGATGCATTAAGATTATGTAAAAGAATAATAGATACATCTTTTTTAAGAGCTAAGTAATGAGGTGGCATTCCACTTGGTGTTAAGATATTTAAAAACTCTATTGGATAAAGATTTGCATCAACTTGATTTTGATCCTCAACAGAGTTAGCAAAATAATATTCATGTATTTTTTTATTAGGGAGTTAGTCAAGTATTTGATTATTAATATATTCGACATCAATATTTTTTGTTATAAGAATTGCCCTATCTTGAATATAGTCAGAATTATGATATTGTATATTAATATCATTAAAGACCTCTGATATTAAATTATCAAGATTTTCACTGTCCAAGACTATATTATTAGGCAATTTTATAATATCTTCACTAATATCAGGATGTACAGATATATTTCCTTCACCAACATCTAATAAGAATCTAACAAATTTTTTTTGTTCATTATCACTATCTTGATTTTGAACTCTCATATTAATTGTTAATTTCATGTTATGAATTTCTTTCCAAAGTTCAGAAGATTTCAAGCATGTATCAACAACTTGACCTCATGTACCTCGAATAACAACAGGTAAAATTTGTCTAAAATCATCACCAAAAATCATAATCTTTCCCCAAAAGGTTTATCTTCAACTCTTGTTATAAATTTAAAACTTCTGTCAACTGCTTCAAATGCATATATATGCATCATTGGTGCCTTATCCCACAGAATAGCTTTGGCATCTCTGATTAATTGAGCTAAATCTGATTGTTTTTCAATATTTAAAGTTGATTTTTCATCTAGATTTAATGGAATTTTAAATCTTGAATAGGCAGTTCTTCCACCACTCTTTAATAATGCAGCAATTCCTGAAGATGCTATAGCAATTGTAATTTTATTTAAACCTGCTTTTTTTAATCTTATATAAGCCAAGATTAAATTATATAAGAAAGTTTTTCCAGTTCCTCCAGGCCCATCAATAAAAAATAAATGTTCATCAATTTGACTATTAAGTGCTACAATAATAACATCAAATATTAATTTTTAATCAGGATTCAATTTAGCTTTATTTTTCAAAGTTTTATTAAGCTCATTTTGATCAAAATTTAGTTCCTCAGCACTTATGGTATTTTGATAATTTTCATCTTCTAATAAAGCATAATTTGGAGCTGGAAGTCCTATAATATCACTAAGAGCTAATCTATTTTGAATTAAATATTTTTCAATAATAATTAATAGTTTTGTAATATTTAATTCTCTATTATTATTTTCTAATTAAAAATCTTCAATTAAATGATCAACATATTTATCCCAAAGCTCTTTTACATTAACTGGTCGACAGTAAACTAATATAAAGGCAAATAAATGTCATAGTTGTGCTGGCATTTTAAAATTAATTGCCTCATCAAGACAATTAAAACATTCACGATCATTATCAACCAACCCAACATGAAATGCTGCTTCAAAATAAGAACTATATTCTATAGTATCTATAGTTCTTAAATCTTGAAATGATTTAACACCACAATGTATATTTAATAAAGCTCTTAAATAAAATCTCTCTGTATCTCTTGGATTAATAAAATATATTCGAGAGATAACTTTTGCACCACCTTTTTTTTTTTTTGCCAATTATTGGTATCTCTATTCCAAGTATAGTGTTTTGGAACATCACAGTATTTTAATTGTTTAATAAATTCATCAACAGGATTATTAGCACAAAGTTCAAAGTATCTTGTTAACTTTGTATACTCTCTTTTTTTAAGTAATGATGCTATTGATTCAGAAGGGTCAAAGTAATAGGCTGCTTTTTAGGTAAATGTGCAGGAAGCCTTTCAACTGTATGAGATCTTTTGTATAAACCAAAATTAAATAATCTTCAAATTCCTTCAGCCACAAAAACATACATATTTTTTAATTTCATTTTCTAGATTTACTAAAGAAAATAAAACTTTATCCTGCCTCTTATATATATATTTATAAAGATATTTGACTGATTTGATACTTGAACATATCTCTACATTAAGGTGGCAGTTATATTTATGACTTAAGTATAGATTATAAGGAACAATCCATCTATTATCAATAGGTGTTTTTATTTCATATTTTTTAATTTTTATATTATTTTTTCTTCTTCTGTATATAGGATATCCCAGATTTATTTGTTGATGTTTCTTTAGTAAAATCTCTTGGATAATATTTATTACATTTTCCATCAATCATACATGGAGATTTTTTATTAATATTTCCACAAGGTCCATGAACCATATTTTTGCTAATTATATTATATAATCTTGGTTGTTTTTTAGAATCTGGTATCTCAGCAGATACAATTTGATTATAATCTTTAGGAGTTTGTAGTTTATTTTCAGATGCTAATATAAGCAGTATATGAACATATAGCAACCCTCTTTTTGAAACTCAATTACATATGTATATGCAATAACTTTTCCCAATACACTTTTTATAACTAAATCATCAATTATTGCATTTAATTTTAATCTGAAAACTCTTGCAACTATATCTGGCCTATCAGGAGCAGTTTGATTTAGTAAAAGCTCAAAAAAAATTTCAGGCCATTTTGGATTGCATGTCACTGTTATAAACAGATCAGATCTTCCAAATTCTCTAACAATTGCCATAAAATCTTGGTACAATTGTTGTAAATATCTTGGTGATCTAGTAAAGCTTGATGACAAAATTATTCTTTTGCCAATTTCTTCAAGATTGGCATCTTCATTATAAATCATATCTTGTAATTCTTCAAAAATTACAGATTTTAATTTTTTTTGATTTTTATAATACTATCTCAAATTATTTGTTTCCCATTTCACATACTGGTCTACTATATATTGTTGAAACAATCTGCCTGAAAGATACAAAATGCTATCATTTTTGTTTGAGTTTCTAATCATAAATCTATATATTGCAAACTCTCTAATAGTTATTGTTGTTCTTTTTTTCTTTTTTTGTTGTTGTTGAATCTTTGATGGTCCCTCATCACCATTATTATCATCAGATTCACTTTCAGATTCAGTATTTGCTTCTTGATCAAATTCATCTTGATATGGCATATATACTTTTCTTTTCTTTATTGCAGGATCATCAGGATCATTATTATTATTATCATTATCATTATTATTATTATTATTATTATCTTTTTCTTCTTCTTTAATTTCTGCAACTTTTTTTTTTCCTTGTTTTATAGATGATCTTTTCTCTAAATATTCTTTATCATCTATATCAATATTTTTATCAATATCCATACTTGATGAACTTCTAATAGTTGCAGATTCTAAAAAACTTGATAATCCTGTTTTACTTTGTGATGTTTTTTTTAGTAAATTATCAAAGTCAATATTAGATATTTGTTTTGAGGTTCTACTTCCTTCAGCTTCAATTTTAGAAATTTCAGAGTCTTTAGGAATATTTTTAGAAAGCTTTTTTTGGCTTTCCTTTTCTAAACATTCTTTGTCTGCTGCTGTTATTTTTTCATCAATCTAATATAAATCATTAATTTCACTTTCATTATCATCATTATTATCTTTATCAGCAGGTTTAGCTGGTTTAACAATTTGTATTTTATTTCTTCTTAATATTCCTGAATGCCAACCATATTCTCCACTTGGAAATAGCAAAAGATATTGTAAAGGATCATATACACCATTTAATTCAAAGATTTTTTGAAATTTTTCATCATATCTATAAATACGAATATCTCTTTCTCGCATTTCTGTATCAGTAAAACAAATTGCTACTACTTCATTAGTTGTTGGTAAATTATATTGTCTTATATCCCTGCCATGCATATTATGTATTAAAATATAAATAAGACTTGCTTGTACATTTCCTGCTTGTATATAAGTATTAGCAAAAGGATTAAATTCCATTAATTCCTCTTGAATTTCTTTTAACATGTCTTTATTTAATTTTTCTTCTATTATTTCATGTTTTCTATCAATTTGTGCTTTAATATTTGTAGGATCATGAAAATATATTTGGAAAAATTGTGGTGGTTCTCCTTGGTTTGGCAAACATGAGCTAATTTGATAATAATGCTAACCCTGAATTTTATAATTATAAGCTCTTTTTCTTTATTGGCAACATCTTTATCTAACTTTGTACCAATTGATGTAAAAGCAAATACTTGATTATATGCTATTGCTTGTTTAACAAAAGGTAATTTAGATATAGGATCTTTTTCTATAAACAATTTATAAATTGCTGGTAGTGGTGCAAGAAGTGGTGCTAATAAAACTTCACCATTCATGCAACAAAGTTCTGGTTTTTCCCCCCTCCCATTTTAAAGCCTCACAATGTTCATATTCAATGTTCATTTTTCCTAATCTATGTTCTTCATTGTTCTTTTTATAATCATCATAATCATTATCATTATCATCATCATCATCTCCATCATCATTATCATCATCATCATCTTCATCATTATCTTCACTATCATCTCCATTATCATCTTCATCATCATTCTCACCATCATCATTATCATCATTATCATCTTCATCATTATTTTCTTCATTCTTTATCTTCTTATATTTATCTAAATTACAAAGTCTTATTTTATAAAATTGTTCAAATTGTTCTTTTTTTTTCTTCTTATATGCTTTTTTTCTTTTTTCCAAATTTTTTATTTTTTTTTCTTCACTTATAGAAGCTCTATGTTTTTGTTGTTTTTTTTTCTGACCAGCTTTTGTTTGTGATCTTGTTTCTGATAATACTTTAGAAGTTTTAGATACATCAGAAGTTTTAAACCTTGTTTTTGTTAAAGGCCCTGCAAAACCTTCTTTTTGGTAATGCATATATTTAGCTTGTCTTCTTCTTTTTAATCTATTTTCTCTATCCTTTTTAGATTTATTGTTAGGTGCTGCATAATCTCTTATAATATAATCAGGAGTAGGTCTTTTTTCTTTTCTCTCTTTCTTTTCTTTCTTTTCTTTTGGCATTTTCTATCTCAATAAAAAAAAAAAAATTATAGTAAAATTATTAATTATTTGTATAATTTATAAATAAAACAAAACATTTATTATTAAATAAATAATATAAATTTTTAAAATTTTTGCTTAAATTATAAATTTTTTACCTTCTTTTTAAATTTTACATGTTTTAATAAATTTGTAAAATTAATATTAATTTATAAAATTTCTATTAAACTTACTATTATTTAGTTTATTTATTATGTTTTAAAACCTATCCTTTAAACTGTATTCCAGGCAAATTTGCCTGGAAAATTGAAAAGTATTTACAAATTTTTAAATAAAATTAAAAATTATT